CAGTAGTAGGGATGGACTCTGAAGCATTGTGAGTGACAAAAGGTCAGGAATTTACTATTCCCTAATGATCATCTGTGGACTGTTAAGAGAGGCAAACAGTGGATTTTCTACCCATACGCTGGCTTTTGTTACACATCCCTAAAATTTGTTAATTTTCACAGCTTTCAAATGTCAATATTAAATAAATAAATCCATAAGCCTTTCATGAATGGTGTACTGAAATATAGTACAACTTCTGTAGACAATGCTTTGCCAAACAAGATAATATCCCTTTCACTCAAAGACACAAATTGCAATATGCTGACCCCTCAAAAAAAAAAAAAAAAAAAAAAGAATCCATAAGAAAAATAACTTTTTGTAGCCCTGAATGGAAAACACACTTTTTAAACTTGGTGTGCAACCTTTGGCTAAACACTTGTTTATTCATCCCTCTAGAGATGAGTAACAGCAGTTACCTCTTTTAGCTCAACCTGCAGGGAGCTCTTCAGCTGTGCAGAGCTGCTGCTGCCTGTGCAAATCTGCACTATGCAAAGGGACCTACCTGCTATTGTAGCTCTGGTAGTAAGTCTGGTAATGGGCAGATAGCAATGCAGCGGTGAGGGGACACAAGCAGCCACATGGTGTAAGGTGATAACCTGGTCCAAACTTGCTAAGCTCAAAACTATTTGATGAATTTTGGTGTGTTTTCTCTGTACCTGCAGGTTTGTGGGCTAGGTCAACAATTGTTTGTTACCCTGATGCCAGCTTAAAATTGCAATACAACCCTTTTTGTACACGTTGCTTACTGTGTCAAGAACACGATCATCTACCTGACATGCATGACTCAGATCCCACCACATGACCTGGTATCACACAGATTTAGTATTGAAAACTGCGGCCTAAGAGGGAGGGTTGATCATACTGTGTTTAGATAAAATGGTAAATCTGGTGTTAAGCCAGACTAGAGCCAACATACCTGCTGAAATGATAGAATCACAGAATCATAGAATAGTTAGGGTTGGAAAGGACTTTAAGATCATCTAGTTCCAACCCCCCTTTCATGGGCAGGGGTACCACACGCTAAACCGTGTCACCCAGACTCCATCCAGCCTGGCCTTGAACACTGCCAGGGATGGAGCATTCACAACTTCCTTTGGCAACCCATTCCAGTGCCTCCCCCCCTCACAGTAAAGAACTTCTTCCTTATATCTGACCTAAACTTCCCATTTGCTACCCCTTTTCAATGATTCAAATGCATTTTTTTTTTTTTCTCCCTTTGGAAAGTATAATTTATTCCAGCAGACTTTCTGTTATAAAGAATCACCTTCCCTCTTTCTGCTCACCAGCTGCCAGGATGGAAACCTGAAGGTGACAAACACTGTGAATCTCCCTCTGCCAACTTGGCAGGGGTGGGTTTATATCTCTATTGCAAGTCTCCGCTGTGGGATGATAGAGGAGTGCAGGTGCTGCATTCATGACTGTGGAACCATAAGCCTGGTCCACAGAGCTGTATGTTGCCAGGCTGACCATGCAAACTTGAAAACCTGGTCTGCAAGGGGAAATAAAAAGAAACAATGAAAGTGGGGAACAGGCAAACAATTGGTCTGAACCTCCTTCTCAAATCAAATCACTTTTATTGCTGGAAAATTATAATAAATGAAAAAATGTGAGCTCCTGGAGAGCTGGTGGTCTGGTCCTTGCCACAGAAATTAACTCCATACCAGGCTGCAAGCAGGGAAAGAAAACTGACATCTTTCCTAATGCTCCATAATGGCACTAAACTCAAACTAACTCACACAGCATCTGAAGAAACGCAAAAAGCAGTGCTTTTTTATTGCCTGGCACTCTGGTAATCAGAGTGTTTTGTTTGTTGATTGCTTTTTTCCTTTTTTTTTAATTTATCAGTATTTTTTGAACAAAAATACTTTATCCTACAAACAGAATTTCTAATTGCATCATGCCCCTTGACTACTAGTTAGTTTCATCTCAAATAAAGATGAGATGATGCAATCATGAGAAAAAATCAGCTCAAAAGAACAGTTGCTATCTGGGCTTGAAAAGAGTAGCACAAGCAAGCAACGTGGCTAGTGAATCCCTTTGGATGGGATGAGACATGCTGCCTTCCCGTCAGCTCCACTTCATTTGTCCAGAGCACACTGTAAAGCAGCTGGTGTTGGGGGACATCATGTAATATAAGAACAGAGAGCCTCTGCAATGTTGTCCTGCTTGAAAAATGAGTAAATATATTTGTCAATTGGAAAATTACAAAAATCCTTATGAATGAATAATGGATTTATCAGGTCGGCAATCTGCTAGTGAGTGACCAGCTCTGCATGCCTTACTCACAAAGCATGGTGCTCTTCCTATCCAAATCAGACGCAGGGACTGGCCCAAGAAGTGTGACAGAGAAGGATGACAGCAGATGACTGCTCCAAACACCAACAGCGAGAGACATTTGCTTTCCTGCCTGCAACCCGGGGAAGCATCTGTGTAGTTAGGCCAGAAGCACTGCTACATTAACCCTTGTGAAACCATTAGCAGGGCACATAGCAAGTCCCATCTGTTTACTCAGGCCTCTGGGAGGGGGGAGAGCTGCTGTTTTGTTGTTCTTTAAGTGTGAATGACACATGATTCAACGGGGAATCTGGAAACTTTTGGTTGCTGTACCAATATTAAAGCTGTAGTGAACTGCATTTTAATCTTTCAAATAGGCAGAGAAGTTAACTGACAGGCTTAATAGTTCACAGTTCAGAAAACCAAATAAATAAATTAGCTAGAATGAGTTGACCTTATAATCAAGAACTAAAACCACACCTTTGAGCACCATGTAATAAAAAGAATGAACAAATGGTTGTTTTCAGGTACACATGCAAAAAGACCATTTTTTTAACCACTAATTCCCTAAACTGTGTGAAGTGTTGCTCCTTGGCTCCATGGCAGGGGTCTGCAGCAGCGTGTGCAAGAAGGCAGCTGTTTGTGCCATGGTGGGAAAGCTGGGCTCTGCACAGCTGGGCGCTGCACAGCCACGCAAAGGACAGGCAGCCCCTCTCCCAGAGAGCCTATGTTTCAAGTGCATGACTAGGGATAACAGATGGATAGAGACGGGAGACGATGAAAACAGTGGGATAACTGGCAGTCTGAAATCCCAGCTGCTTACTCGCTGTCTAATATCGCCAAGTTAAAATTTCACAGTCTTACTGTCACAGCAGAGTTCGCTCTGCTCTTCCTCACTGAGGAAGAGGAACAGCGAGACCTTTGTGCATGTTACAAAAGGGCTTTGGGCTGGAATTTGCTGCTGAACCAGATCCCCTAACTGATGCACACAATAAAAGTAGCAGGTTTCTCCACATCTCCTTCCTGCTTTATTAATGGAAAAGTGGTGTAGCAAAGAATAGTGGAGGCTGGTATGCTGGGCACATGGTTTTGGAGGTCAGCACCTCCAAAACAAACCTCTGAGACTGATATTCACTGGGGGTTAACATCGGCTTCAGAAGGTGGCCAGGACACAAGTGACACATTTCCTCCAAGGAAAGTGAGCCTGAGGTACAGCTGACAGTTTAATGTAGCTCCCAAGCAAGAGCAGCAAAACAGAAGTAATCTGTTATGGTGAAAGGGGCTCCACACCCAAGGAAGCTTTTAAGTGTAGGATTCAGAAATAAAAAACCCAAATGCCAATACTGGGACGAGTGCAGTTGAAGGCAGTCCACAGTTGCTGCTAAAATTGTCATGAGGTCATGACTCACCCAGGGCCGCCACTGAAACAGGGTGAAGAACCCGGCTGCTGCTCCACCCCTTGGGCAGGTCCCCACTCCTGGGGCATGGTGCCAGGTGGCTCCCAAATTGCCAGCATTTGGGAGCTGCCTCTCTGCCTGCCAGGTCACCCCCATGCAAACGACAGCAAGGGGAAACCTCTCTATGTCCACCGCTCCGCCCCTTGCCTCACCGTGGCATCACTGCATGTGACCAATGACACCAAGCTATGTGGTGTAGCTGACATGCTGGAGGGAGGGGATGCCATCCAGAGGGGCCTTGAGAGGCTTGAGAGGTGAGCGAATGCCAGCCTCATGAAGTTCAACAAGGCCAAGCTGGGGCACTCCCAAGCACAAATATAGGCTGACCTAGTGGAAAGTGTCCTTGCCAACGGCAGGGGCAACGGAAACAGATGATATTTAAGGTTCCTTCCAACCCAAACCATTTTGTGAATCGCAGAGTACAAATTAAGCAATGCTAATATGATGGTAGGGGTAATACAACCAGTAGCAATTCCTGTTTCTGGTAATAATTACTGTTTATCCTTGTTTGCTCTCTGCCTGGGTTCTCTATATTTCCCAGTCTGGTCTTGACACCTAGGAAAGCTAAAATTGCACCTTGATTTAAAGAAAAGGGAGATTTGTGTCACTACATCATAGAATCATAGAATGGTTAGTGTTGAAAGATGAGATCATCTAGTTCCAACCCCCCTGTCACAGGCAGGGACACCTAACTCTAGACCATGTTGCTCAAGGCCCTGTCCAGTCTTGCCTTGAACACTGCCAGGGATGGAGCATTCACAACATCCTTGTTCAACCTCTTACAGTGCCTCACCGTCCTCACAGTAAAGAATTTCTTCCTTATATCTAACCTGAACTTCGCCTGTTCAAGTTTAAACCCATTCAACCTTGTCCTATCCCTACAGTCTCTGATGAAAAGTCCCTCACGGGTATCCCAAGACATCATCCCAAGAGCAGTGGCTTTCAGACATGACACGTGTAAGGGGTCTCGTAACGTGATCTCAGCTATGGTGCTGATACCAAGCACAGGGCCGGGCCCGACCCGGTGCACCCCTTACGGACGGCTCAGCCGCCACCGTCCGTCAGGTCTACGCCGGGCCCGGGTCGGGCCAGCACCTGGAGGCGGGGCAGCACCGGGGCGGGTCCGGCCGCTGCCGGCGGGAGGAGCCAGGCCGGAGAAGGGGCGGCCCGGAGTGGCGCTGCCGGGACAGCAGCGCGAGAAGGGACTCGTCCGCGTCCGGGGAGCGCGGCTGCGTTCTGCTGTGGGGGCTGGTGCCGGCGCCGGCGGGGTTGAGCTCACTATGGAGCCGGTGACCCGGTGGAGCCCGAAGCAAGTGGTGGACTGGACTAAGGGTAAGAGAGGCCGGGTGGGCGCCGCGGGAACTTTCCGGTGTCTTGCTGCGGGGTGCCCCGCTGTCGGGCGGGGTAGCGCCGGCCGCCGCCGCTCCTCTCCCCGGAGCCGGGCTCCTCGGCGGGGCGACCGCGTGGCCGGCGGGGCCTTTGCCAGTGCCGCGGCGGTGCCGGCCCCAGTCCCGGCTCCGTGGGACACTTTCGGCGTGGTGTATGGGAGGAGGTGGCGGCTTACCGCGCCCTCCTGACTTGTCTGCTTACCTGCTAGTGCACTTGTGCGTGTTTCGGTCTTGTTTGTTTTGGTTTGGTTTTGGGACACGGGGAAAGGGGAAGGTGAGTTTTCCGCCGGGCTGTGTGAGGGTGGGGAACATATATGTGTGTATATATATATATATAGGCATACATGCAGTGGGGTCCCCTCAGGGCTCGATCCTCTTCCACTGTTGTGCTTGCATATCTATATAGCATCTATATGCTTGCACAGAGATAATAACTGTTCTCCTTAAGGTGGTTGGTCCATGTGAGTTTGCTTACAGCTTTTCAAACAAAACCTACTCACTGGTCGAAGAAACTTTCTATGTTGTAAGTTAAGCAAAAGCTGTATGAACTAGCTCAAGTAAGCAAGGACTTGATCCTGTTTAACGGTGATGGGATTAAAAAGCTGGGCTCCCGGTCGGAGAGTTGAGTAGTGTCCCCTTCATCCGTCTGTTTGTCCCTGCATCCCTCCCACCCCTCATCTCTCGTGTCTGCGCTTGTTTCTCTCCCTCTCCCGCCTATCAGAACTTCCTATTCTGCTTCGAGGTTTGTTCACGATATTGACAGAGGTGTGGAAAGCTTCAGCTGGACTGATGTGCCAAGAAGGCACTTGGGAAGCTTGCACCCAGCTCCGGGAAGCTCTTTGGTGGGCGAGAGGAGGTGGGGACAAAGCAGGCACTGGGACACGGCCTGCACCCGTGAGGTGCCCCGTTCCTGCTGTGGGGGACCTCTGCAGTGTTGGGTATCGTCGGGGTTTTTTTTTTGTGAAGGCAGATTAAACCTCAGGTTTGTCAACTCCAGTTGGACCCTGTGAGTGTTTTCTGAGTGCCCACTGGGATATTGCTCTTGCAGTACCCTCTCTACCTGGAATAAATTGAAAGGGAAATCACTGTGAATTAGGTGAGGGATTTATGACTTTGGAAGGAGTACTTCTGTTTTTTCGTAGGACTATGTTTTAGTGTGATTGCCTTTTGTTACATAAAGTATTTTCACAGGCTTTGCTGGAGTTGAAGTCTGTGTGAAGTTAGGAATGTTTTCAGAGGTGAAAGTTTCCCTGGATTAGAAGCGGCGCTTACTTATAGCAGCCATTACTCCTCTGTCTCAGGACCATAATGCTGATTAGACTGCGTGCCTGTGGTCAGCACTTGGCAGTAGTTCGGCTCAAGACCGAGGCAAATTTGGAAAGCAGGCTCATGTTTTCACATAGAGTGAGATGGATACTCCCAGCCCTCCTGAGCTTGAACATGTACGTGAAGGGGCTGTGCCAGTGAGGGACCATCCAAGCAGCCTTTGTGAGGATTCCATACAAACGTGCTGTGAAGTTATGCGTTAACATATAAATAACTTCCCCAGAAAGATCTCTTTTCCCTGATTGGTGTTGGTTTAAACAGGAGTGCATTGTTCCAATGAAATAAGCTTTTTGCTGTGGCATGTGGAATATTTATATAATGCTTTTCCCTCATTGTGTTTTTTTCTCTTGGGCGCTGAAAGTTTGTTACCTTGCCAGATTAAAGATTAAACCTGCTAATCATTTTAAAAAGCTTTCTTATACTTCAGCATGCGTGGCTTGCTCTCTTGCATAATTTATTTTACTTGCAGGTTCCTTGAACAGGTAACTCTTTAGCTGGACCCTCAATTAGTGTTATGCAGAATAATTTGAGGGCTGGCTGTAGTTGGGAGGTGGATCTTCTGACTAATGCAAACACGTGTTCTTTGAAATGCAAAGGAATGAATTAAAGGCTGCTGGTGACTTTTGTTTCTGCTGCTGTTTTTCAGTTTCTAGGTAAGCTTTTGACCTCTGGTACACAGTGTCATTTTATGTCACTCCCTGCATGACAAGACTGTAATAAAGAAATGACATGTGGAAACTTTTTCTTTATGGTTATGCTTTCATCGTCTGCACGTTAAAATTGACACTTTAATAGCTAGCTAACAGCTTTGTTAGCACAATGTTTCATAGTTTATTTTTAATCTGAAATGGTTATTTACTGTGTAGTTCACAGTCACTGGATTTTATGTTTGACCAAAACCTAACATTCTGTATTTTATCTTATGAATATTATATTTAATTCTCGAGGTTAATTTTGTAAAACAAGTTTTTAGAGGAGAGCTTATGCCATTTGTTTTCTTACACGTGCCATTTAGGAAGGAGGTGATACCATGATCTTCACTGAACCGGCCAAGCTCTGGGACAAAGTATTTGGCTAGTGGTGTTTGCTGCCTGTAGTTAGTGCTGTGGTGCCATGGAGATGTATTCTAGAAGAATGACATAAATAACTGGTGGGAGATGCCAGTTCTCAGTGGGGAGATTGGTTTTGCAGATAATGATTCACGCTTATCGTACAACAATAACAACATCTTGGAAAATGTAGAGTGGCAGAAATAAGTGGTCTGACTTAATTCATTTTAATGTTCAATGTAAAGCTGAGAATATTTCTCCAGGGTTTTTCTTTTCCCTTACAAATCTTTGTACAATCAAGCAACTGTAAAATAATTTATATATATATGTATATAGATATAAATATAGCTTTTCCTAACCACAAGAAACATGAAACCTCCCCCCTATTCCATGAAACAAGCCCCCAAAAGCAAAGTCCAAAAGTAAGCTGCTAATTGCTGGAGAGTTGGTGTATTTGCTCTTGGTGGATTTGCTTTTTTTTTTTTTTTTTTAAAGTAGCTTTTGAACTAAGTTTTTTTAACAAGGTAACTCTTATCCCAAAGAGTGGTGTTCTGTGATTTTTGAGTTGTTCACTTCTAGGTAAATACTATAAATACCATTTATCTATAATTTAAAACAGAACCTATTAAGGAGTTGTAAGCTGAATGTGAATATGTTTTGATTTTTAGAGCACTTTTTATTTAAAACCTGACTATGTTTGTTGCTACCAGCAACAGCTGGTACAAAATGCAGTTGCTTGTCCTCTCGTGCTAATTCAGACTAGAATGCTGCTATTTTTTTGTGAGCAAGGGTGTTTTTTCTGTGTACCAACAGTAGCAATCTATGTAGCTAGTAAGAGTTGGTCTAGCTAAACCAAAGCTACTGAGGAAGAGTTGTGCTTTTACTTGCTACCAGTTTTCTGTGTAGCTTTGACCAAGGATGTAATAACTCTTTAGCTGTAGCATCAGGTTTTGAAAACCGTATCTTACATTTTTATAAGTACCTCCTTGATTTCTGTCTGGAAGAAGTGATGGTGGAGTTATAGGTTTCTCTTACAGCATGGCACAAATTGAATTGGTGTTTCGGAGCCATATTCGGCCATGAAAGGTGGTACTTTGGCTAGGATGCGATGTTGATTTGACTTGTGATTCTGCTGGCATGGAGTTTATGTTCTTTGAATGATATAGCCTGCACTGTTTTCCTGACTACACTGGCAAGATTTTTTTGGGGTCATTCTGTGTTTAACCTGTGGTCTTGCTCTGATGCAGGCTAAGATCCTTACAGGCTCAAAATCCTCACCTGCATCTCACAGCACTCCCTTGTGAGCCCATGAAACTGAATTCACCCAGAGGCCCTTGAGGAATTCCTGGGGTTATCCAGGTTATTGTGGAACAGATGTATGCCTATGGAAGTTGTAGCATATCTGTTATTGCTGGTATATGTTTGTGGGCTTGCAGTTTTTTTGGCTGTCCTGAATGCAGAAGTGGGCAAGAACCCGTGTATTTCCATAGGGCTGTGCAAATGGAGATACATCTAGCACAAAAGTGATTTACTGGCATAGGAACAGTTTGAAGGGAACAGTGTTATGATGTGGAGGAGCCTTCTCTGGTCTCAGAAAACCCTGGCTACTGAAAACCCTGCAGCTAAGGTCATTCCTCAAAAGATGTGTGGGGGGGAGGAAAGCTGTGTATGGGATAGTCTCCTGTGTGAGAAATGTCACTGTCTTATTGGAGAACATTGATGTGCTTTGTTTGCTGTAGCCTGATCTGTCTCTTCCCCCTGCCCCCAGGCCTCACATACTTATGTGAGTTGTGTCTTCAAGCCAAATTTTACACGGTAAAGACAGTTGGATGCACTTGTGGTTAGAAGCGTCTGTTGTTGTGAGGCTCCGTTACAATTTGGCCTTTGTAGCTGTAGGCTCAGCTAGCTAGGGATCATGCGTCTGCTTTGGCCTCTTTACTGCACTCCAGGTACAGTTATTCCCTTCCTCTGTAGTTCATGGATATCACTTACTCCTGTGCCTATTATATCATGAAATACTCAGATTTCTATTCCTGGTAAAGCTTTCAGGCAACTGTATTTATTTATAGGGATGCTTGGGAGAAGATGGGGATATATGCTAATTTATAAATAGTTAGCAATTAATTGTGAGAGCCTGGTCTTCCTTTTTTTTAGAGCTATCTTGCTTACCCAGGGAGATTTCAACAAGGTCACTCATGTTAACTGTGTGTGCTGGGAGTGCAAACTAGCTGGAATTTAGGAACAGTGATGAGTAATGCATAGCACCAGAGTTGTTATTTAGCATTTTCTTTTTAGGTATCCTCAAATTAATGTTTTGTTCAAATTTTTTTTTTGAAAATAACAGTAAGAACCCCCTGATTATTTCTTCAGGCAGAATACTTTGATTTCAGTGAAGAAGTGTAGAAGGCTGCCTATAACTGGGGCTGCAGAAGAATCTCTTTCCTCTATTTACTTGGATGCCTAAAAATACTTGTATAGAGTATTTGTTAAATAGATCAGAAAGTGACACTGAATAATCAGTCTTTGTAGATCTCGGCTGAAATTCTCCGTATAGCTGTCCCGTAATGATTTACTAGCGAAACCTGTATATACTAAATAGACCTATATATCTGTGGGCTGAAACAAAGTAAAAAGTTGCACAACGAGTTTGTGTTACTGCAGTCTTAAAATTATTCATTCATTGTTGCTGAGATCAGTGAAGGTGTATTGAAAAATATAAACCAAAGTTTGCCTCCGTGTTCATGTTTAGATCATGTTCTTGTGGTTTTTGCTGCATTGCACTTGAGCTGCTTGTGGGTTCTGTGAAGTTTTTTCTTCTCCCTGATCTTTTCGTGTTCAAAGTCAGCTCTATTTATTTGCCATTAAATTTCTGTTCAAACTATTTTAACCAAACATCAGAAAGTCTAGAAATTGAAAGCTGTCAGCATAGTATCTGGAAAAGCAACACTTTAAATGCTAAAATCACAATGGGTGTTGGTGGAAAGTTGATTGTAGCCTTTGTAGAGGAATGCAGTGAAACTCTGATAACGCATTTTAGGTATATGAGGTATATTTAGGTAGTACCTGTACCTAGGCTGTAGTGTTAAAAGCAGGTATGCTTGCTTGGTATTACCCAACTAGACAAGTAAAGTGGTATACTTCTTAAGAGAAATTTCTTCTAATTGCTCAGTAGAAGGTACAGAGGTTGGCCAGTGGGCTGGTTGCTTTTTCCCTTCTGTCTTATAAAGAATTTCCTTCCTTCAATGACAGGAAGTCATTGGTATCTGATATTGGAGACCTCTGTAGGAAAAAACTCACTTTAGATGAAAAGTATGTGTGTGTCAGATTCTCGTAGCTCTTGTTATAGATTCATTCTCTTCCTTGCACTTTTGCCTGGGAGCCCATATTTTCAGCATGTATATCCTCTTTGAAGATCATGGCTCTCTCTAGCTCACTACAAGAGCTAAGAGAAGACACAGTATAGGGCACTAGATAAAATGCA